GGGGGGGGGAGCGATAAAAAGTTTCAGACGGCAGGACAATGCCTGTGTTTTTTTGTTTGTTTGTTTGTTTTCTCGGTCTACACTGTACCACAAACAGCTTTGGTGCCACTCGGAGCCCTTCCCCTGTCCCCCTCCCTTTCCCTCTGCAGACTCGCTCTGGCAGGCGGAGGCACAGTTAAATTCCAGCACCTTCTCCACCGAGCCCCAAACTACTACACGCTATTACTACGGCTGCCCTCCCTTTCGATTTGCCTCCTCGGCTTCCCCAGCCTCCCGGGGGGTGCCCGGCAGCGCCCCTGGAAGAGGACTGCGCAGAGAGGGAAAAGGGGCGCCCCACTCCATCAGGCTGGGGGCGTTCTGAGTCCTGCGCAGCTCCCCTGCTCCAGGCACAAACACGGCCTGAGAGCCGGCGCCTTGGAGACACACGGATCCACGCATACAGTAGAGCTGTCTCGGTCCACATTCTTGCACACCGCCCCCTCCCCCCCCCCGAGCTCCAGGAGTNCCCCCCCGAGCTCCAGGAGTCGCCGAGCCGGCGGAGTGACAGGAGCTCCCCGCCAACCCGCGCCGGGGCGGGCAGGGAGGAGCGGCGCGCGGGGCCAACTGCGGCGCGTCTTCCGGCGCCCTTGGAGGCGGCGAGGGTGGGACGCGGGGCGGAGCCCGAGTTTAGGAAGAGGAGGGGATGGCTGTCATCAATGAAGTCATATTCATAATCTAGTCCTCTCTTCCTCTGTTTCTGTACTCTGGGTGACTCAGAGAGGGAAGAGATTCAGCCAGCACACTCCTCGCGAGCAAGGTAAATATAACTTACAACTCCTTTCTCCGCTTTCCCCTCCCTCGGGCCTCCCGGTTGCAGCCGCCGCACAAACCCCTCCGGCACCGCGCCTCCTTCGTGGGCGATTATTCATTATTATCCTAATTATTATTTATTGTGCATGCACGGAGACCAAAACAAACAGGCGGGCCAACCGCCACAACAACAAAAAAAGCCCGCCTCCTCCCCGCGGGCCTCAGGTGGAATGCTCTAACGACAGAACCCTGGCGGCGGTGGAAGAAACGGGAAAGTTTCAACCGAACCTTGCTGTTCTAATAATAACAGTAATAATTACTACTTCAAGGAGGCAAGGAGGGGAAATCCCAACAAACCACAGCCTTGACCCTGGGTAGGCAGTCAGCAATGCGCTGCCAACTCAAGGTTGCAAGGCACACACTTGGCAAGGTGGCAACACCCCCTCCCCATTCCCTTAAAAGCCTGGGGGTGGGGGGGAAGGGGACTGGAGGATTGGGGAGGAGAATGGAAACGCGACAGATCATCCCGAGCAGTCCTCCCCGGAAGAGTTGGAAGTGGAACGGGAGAGGGAGGCAAGGAGCCTGGGCTGGCGGCGAGGCGCCAACGAACGCGGCTGACACTCGCTTCCTGGAGACTTGTTTAAAAGGCTCCGGCTGCAGAGACCCGAGCGGTGCGCGGCTGCAGGAGCCGGAGCTGGCGCGCCGAGGAGGCGGCTGCCACCGCCGCGGGGCCGGTGCGTGCCGGATCGGAGGTGTCACCTCCACTTTGCGCGTTCCCTCGGGCGGGGATGGGAATGCTGACCGGTAGGCAGGCCTTTAGGGAAAAGGGCTGCCAAGGGGGCTGTGCCCCCAGCTCTGCGGGAGTCCCTGCCCCTGGTACCTGGCGACTGCGCGGGCTCGGGTGTTGAAGTTCGGGGTGTCCGGCCCGGGCCGCACTGCTAGGAAGGAGGGAGGAGGCACCGAAGGAGGTCGGAGGTGCCCGCCGGGTTCAGTAACCCAGCCCTCCCGCTCCCCGGGTTTGTCTTCTTTTGCTTTGCGTCTTCCTCTAGCTTGAGCCACGGGAACCGCGGGCGTAGGTCGCCCGCAACCGTCCGGGTAGTAGGGGCGCTCTGGGGCCGGGGCGAGCCACCGTGGCTGCGGGCCGGGAGGCCATGATCCGGATAATCCTCTTTGCCTTACTGTCACAAACAGGACCGGCGCGCACCCGGGCCGCAGCGTTGGTGTTCGCCGGAGAAGGG